GCAGGGGGGGGGGGGGATTGGCGGGTAGGGGGCGCACTGAGAAACCTGGCCTTGGAGCAGCAGAGAGAGTAAATCCGGCCCTGCATATCAGACACCATCGATACATGCAATAACACTTTTGGTGGACTGACAAATACACAATGTTATATTTGAGAGAGTAAATGGCTAGGGAGAATCACTTGTGTCTTGCTTCCAGAGCTACAACTTTAGAGTTGACCGTGAGGCAAAACGCTGACAGCAGTGCCCATCACTACTCAACACAATCAATCTGCATGGCTTTAAAAAAAAAAACCTCAATAACCGACAAATAACATTTCCAGTATGAAGGAGCAGAATGGGTTTTCCCACAGTGCCTTGTAACGTTTAAGGGCCACTCAGGGTCCCTTCACCAGCCGTAGTATGACGTCCACAGCCACTTCAGCACCCATCCACAAAGGGCATACTGGTAAGGAGTGTGGTGGGATCTCTACAGAATCCCCACAGTGCCTGGCTGGCTAAGACTGGCAATCTCACTACACTAATCACTTACTTAGACTTAGTTACTCACGCGCAATTGGGCTCATTGGGCAGTAAGTGCTCTCCATCTTATTCTGTCAGCAGTGGCCAATTCAGCCTCATCCCACAGGATCTTGATGGCTTTCAGGTCTCTTTTGAAGGTCGACCGCCAGGTAATCACCACACCACTATTAACAACAGAATCCTCTAGGATTTAGAAAGAACCCAGTAGCTCACAGCCTTTCTCCAGAGTGTAATTGAATTTTGGCTGTACATGGCAAATAGTAGCATTATATGGGTGTATACACTCTAAAATAAAGGCATATAGGAGTGATTTCCTTGTGCTCAATGGCTGCTCCTGTGCTCAGATGTAATATTTTGTATATAGTGGCTGCATCTGCTATGTGTGTCTTTACATGTGGCCTTATATGTGTGGTTATTCTGTAGCTGGAAAAGGGGTCAATCCAATCCTATTCAAGTCCAGTTGTGGTCAGGCCTCGGGTCTAGTGGTGGTTGTTCTTACGTTGTAAACCATTATGTTCAGTTGTAGTCAGTCCCTGTGTCTAGGTTGTTCCCTGTCTAGTGGTCCATCCCAATGGTCAATTCCTGTATCCAGTGTTTGAGCAAACCTGAGTGTGGACAGTTGGAATGTCCACCGCTACACACAGAAGGTCTGATCTTCTAAAGCAAATGATCCAAAGCAGGGATAAAGAATTTCCCTATGCTTGCATCATGAGTACACACATATAGTGACTGCGATCCCTGACTACATCTAGCTTATCCTATTCAATGTTATACAGTGTGGTCCTAGTTTTCTTTGTGACAGATAATGCTGCTTTTGTGCACTACTGACTGAACTGGTCAACGTTTTGCTTAAAAATAGATTAAAAAGAAAATAAATGTGACCTAACAAATAAAATGTATATGTCTCAAGATAAACATCATGTCAAAAAATAATTTATACTAATCTGTTGTAGGCAGCATATATACAGGTACCATTGAATTCTCTATTTAATGCAGCAGTGTATGGGTTCTTATACGGACACTACTGTTCATGTCCAAGCCCAGTATAATACCCCTCCATATATAGTTCAATTAAGTTACTTTACAAATTGAGGTTTTTTACAGTCTCCTTTAACGATAGCCAGTTGTACTTGGCGCGCTTTATTCAAACACTATGCATTCAAAAGTTCTCTCGGCAGCTAGATCCAAAAACATTAGGGAAAATGGCGTATTAAATCTAGGCATATCAAGACATAGTAAACAATACTAGCTAGTAAACTCCATGCGTAAACCCTGTAAGCTGAGCGTGCCCATAGCAGGTGCATAGTAAAATCCACAAGAATTGGATTTGCTAGTTTGCAATTAACAACAATGGGCCAGCATACACACTGTTTTAAGTTGATCAGGCTCAGACAGTGACCACTGCCAAGGCTTGGTAACAACTAGACAAAATAAATAAGCAATGTTAGAGCCAAAGAATGATCACTATGAGACCATGGACCTATCAATTATAACATTTAGGGAACACCTGCTGCTACAGCCAGGAACCATGACTACACCCAACAAGTTACCCCCACTAAACTTAAGAAGTGCACACCTACAAAGCCAAAAACAGACTACTAAATTATTACCCCTACAAGCAGGGAGTAGCCAACACCATAATCACTTTATGACCGAGAGATTAACCATCACAGTATTTCCAATAAAGCTAGAATGTAGGCATCATCCACGCTCCATTGAAAGGCTAAAGGCCCCAATATAGGTTGGGTCTTTGTTCTTCTTTATGCAATGCGGGTAGATCATGGCTGGTGGAAGGGACCAGCAGGGTGTGGTACATAGCTTCCTAAAAAATATCACAGCACAATACTTGAGCACTAGCAAAACTTCCCTCAATTCCTTCCTAGTACACCACCATTTGAGCGTACACTCATGAATGCTGGCATCCAGCTGTCAAACTGAGAACAGCTCTCCCATTGTAATCTGCATGGTTCATCTGACAGTTTAACAGTCAGGTCATGCATTGTGTATAAGCAATGCTGACAAGGCTTCCGATATATAGAGCCCCAAAGAAGGTGGATGTCTTTAAAGCCCCCGAAATGTGTTGGCTGTTTTTTACTCTTGTTTATGAGCCCCTTCCATTATTTACGTACATTTTTGGACTCTCACTCTGTCTTGTTTGGCACTCTCATTGGACTGTATATATGTGTATATTTTCAACTCTGTATTCCTTTGTATATGGGACATCCCGCTTTTGTTTGAAGCAGTCTCACTAGAGCTATGTGCTTTATCACATTCCGACCAATCTTCTGACTATATGAATCCAGCACCTCACCTGTACTTGTTTCTGGAGCTCTGGGATGACTTTTAATGAATAGAACCACTCCCCCCAATGAATCTGCATGGCTCAGCTGTAAGATTGACAACTGTATCCCATTCTCTCAGGAACACTGACAGTAGCTTCTAATACACAAAGCAGAAAATCTTGTTCATTTTTAGACACATATGAATGTGTAGGTGAGTGTTATAATAGAGCAGCAATATTGTCCCACAATAAAGAAGTGCAGGGAAAGTTCTCAAACCCTCTATGCTGTAATCGTTTACTATATAACATTACATTTTCAATTTTCTACCTAAGCATTCTTTGATATGGTGTGTATGTTTTCATTATTACTTTATGATTGGGCAGTTGCTCCTCCACTATTAACCCCAGGCTATTCTCAGCCTATGAACCCCAGCCATTATTCATGGTTGCTGGCAAAGAATGTGACTCTTCCTGTTTCACAATATTCACAATCCTTTGGATCCATTCTACATAATGTAAATAAACTGTGATGCAACACGGATAGTGAAAGTCTCACATAATGCAATGACATCATCGCACATGCACGGCCATCTGATTGACGCCTGCCGGTGGCCATCCTAGCGATGGACTCTGGCAGAGAGAGGAGGGGACGTTCACCCGGCGTGATGAGGTATGCCGCCGGGTCCCCTCCTCTCTCCTGACACTGTTTGGCTCTCGGCCCATGAACGAGTGCCCGACTTTGTAGAGGGGGTGACACCAAAATGACTGTCAGTCATTTTGGTGTCACCCCTGCAAAGATGTCACCCAAGTGCGGGCCGTACCCCCCTTGTGACGCCACTGGTTCTTTGTAAACAAAAATTTTACCAGATTCTGAAAACTAAGTACAAATTCAATTGCAAAGTGATTGGCCTATTTGCCTTTATTAATTCAACCACTATGAATCCTACTTAAAGGAGAACTATGGGGTACACCGTTTTTTGCATGTTTAGTTTCCTTATGATACAGAAATACATTTTGCAATGTACTGTGGGCAGGGCTAAGCTCTGTGCTGAGAAGAGAGCCTGACAATATTGTCATGATCCTCCTCTCGCATTGAGTGACAGCATCTTTTTAGTGATGGGAAATCCAAAATGTTACAGTTGTCCTTGGAAGAGAAGGTAAGGGGAATTTGTCCACTGGGGAAAATCTTTTCTGATGAGAACTGCTCAGCAGGTGATAGTCCCTGACTTAAGAGCTTTCCTCTCACTTCCTGTTGTGTCTTCAGGACAGGAAGATCAGAGAAATCTCTCCAATGACACACAGAAAGCATAAACAAACTGACAGGGGTTCACACTATCCCCTATTGTATCCCAAAAAGAAAAAAAAAAGTGGGCTTTAGATATACAACAAGGAGAGTAACAGGAATCATTTAGAAAAAAACACCTGTGTTATTAGAGTAGAATGACAGTGGTCCAGAATAAGTAGCACTACAAAATGCTTTGAAGCATTATGCCCCATTCACACCAAGCCGTCGTTTTTGTACGCGCGAGTTCAGCTGGCCTTTCTTGCACGTTTATGCGCATTTTGCACATTTGTTTCACACATGAGGACGTACGTTTTGACTGGCAGCTTAAGAAACATTGCGGTCAATGGACAAACTTGTGTACAAACGCGCAAAAAATGTGCACAAACATGTGCAACATGCTTCTGTCACTCGTTTCCTGACATTTCCATTGTACTCTATGGGGGAAAAATGAGCTGCAAACTGCCAAAAGAAGCTCATGTACTTTTTTCTGTGTTTGGTATTTTGCTGCTCAAGTGTGAACACGGGCCATTGAAAATGGTGGGATTTCCTGTGTTGGGTGTTTTGAAGTGCTTTTTCTACTGCTCAAAAACCCCTAGATGTGAACCAGGACTTAAAGTGATATTAAAGTCAAAAGGTTTTTAAGCTATTTCAAATGCTGATGAAATCACTTGCTGCTCCTTGATGTTTAAAAATGTTACTTTCGGCTTTCCTGCAGAATCAGCTAGTCCCCTGAGCAATGGTCCTGATATCCTGTATTAGGGTGGCTCCTTTCCCTTGCAGGGACCTATGGAGCCACTCTTGTGTGTGCTAGTAAACTGTATATCTCCACAAACACATAGGCACAGCAAGGCAAGGCATTCCTCATTCCTCCCTCCACCCTTCTCCCACCTAGTAGATGGAAGCTGCCGGAGGCTGCTCTGTCCCTTGTGAGCTTGAACTGGACAGGAAGTTCAGGGAAGCCCAGCTGAGAGAGTTGGAGCTGTTTGGAAACATGATGACTGTAATGCTTGGGAAGAAACGTAAAGATGTGCAACGGGCAATGTATATTTGTTTGATCTGGATTTATTATTGAGAATGAGAGTTTAATACTACTATAATTTCATTTGGTTGAGTATAGTAACTGTTATTATACACCATCGTCTCTTTGTAACATACATCCTGTTACTGTGATGTTTTCGACTTTTCATTTCTACAATTTGACACCTGAAGCCAAATTGTTTAATATGGACGGCAATTTCACCCTCTACTTTTGTAGCAATTTCACCCTCTACTTTTATGTAAAGCGGACCTTCACCCTACCCACTTTCTGTCATCTCACCCTACCCCTTTCCTCTCAGAAATATCATTTTTTAATTTTCTATATACCTTTTTGGGGGAACCCTCCCCGCACTTCTCGCCTAGGTCAGAATGACATATGCAGCTGATAGCAGTCCTCTGGGATAATGTCATGCATCTCAGGAGGTCTTAGTGTACTCTGCTGTGCTTGTGCCACTGTGTGTCATCAGGAGGCCCCTGATGATGTGCCATGCACAGTATAGTACACCTGGCATGCTTGCCATGGGTATTCCAGGAGGCTGAGGGCAACTGCATACCTCATTTTAACCTAGGCAAGAACTCAGGAAGTGTTGGAGAGGGTTCCCCAAAAAAGACGAATATAAATAATGCAAAAAATTCTAATTCAGAGAATAAGGGTGTAAATCAGCAGAGCTTTGGATTCCTACAGAACACCGCTGGATCACAGGGTGTGAGGGGAATTTATCAAAACTGGAGCAGATAAAATCTGGAGCAACTGTGCATTGCAACCAATCAGCTTCTGTCTTCAGTTTGTTCAGTTAAGATTTGAAAATTAAGAAGAGAAGCTGATTGGTTGCCATGCACAGCTGCTCCAGATTTGAGAAATTTCCCTCTGTGTGTTTTGTGGATAAAGTAAGATGGGGCACAGAAAATAGGAGGGGGGTGAATTCCCCCTTAGGCCCCATTCACACTGAGCGACACTTACCTCGAGCGCATTTGCACGCGGCCGGGATAGCGCGACTGTTCGGGCGACGATCGAGCGACCTTCACTGTCGTGCTGCATGCAAAAAGAGAAAAATTGCGCGACATCCGCAGAAAAAAGGGTAATGCACCAGCGACGCGCGACAGGCGACATAGAGTGGTAGAATAGAACAGCTCCATTGAAAAGCATTGGACGCCGACTTCTCGTGATATTGCATGGCAAATATGCGCAATATCGCGGCAGAAATTGCGCGATTAAACACTCAGTGTGAATGGGCACTAAACATACCTGCCTGAGAAATTCCTTTACTGTTTTCAAAACTCTTCCAACTGCTGTTCTGTATCTATAAATATTATGAACTGTACTGGTCTCCTTTTACGGAGGTAGAAAATAAATTGACGCATTTGAGACCAGGCCTTCCCCAAAATGACAATCGCAGCTCGTGTGCTGACGTAAACAGTTGTGACTGCGTCCACAATTATTTACGTTGAAGATGAAGCATAGCCATATTCCCAACATATCCTTGTCTGATGTCAGACGAAACAACAGGAGCGATGGCAGTGATCTGGATTGACCTAGATGAGGGTTCATTGCTTATGACATCAAATACTGAAAATATTTGGCAGAATAATTATGAGACAAAGAAATAAAGTGCAGAAAGGAGGGCAGGAAACATAGCATCAAAGATGGAAACAATCATGTAGCCTGCAGCGCTGTAGAAAGGGGGAAATCCTTTAAGGAATCATAGAAACCACCCACTGTCATAGCTGCATTTTAATCCATTGATGTCAGGCAGCATCATGATCACAGCATTGATCATTGCAAGAATATTGATCATTGCCATAACCCAATTGCTAATATGAATCCGATGCATTATGGGGATGATAGATACTAAATCCAGGGTGCAGTGTAAAAATATAACAATTAATATGATAATATAAGGAGCTGATAATATAAGGAGCATGATCCACCTACCATTGTGCCAGCCGCGATCACTCACAGAATGGGATATAAAGAGTTACTCAGTGACAGTCTCCGCAGCGCTAAATGAAGCTTAGAGAAGCTGCTGAACAGACCCGGACGCATCACCCCGCCCCTTATTGACGGACAGCGGTCAGCATCCAATCGCAGACCGCGCTGAGCGGCCTTTCTCCCAATCCCCGGCTGACGTTGGTTAGTACAGACGATGCCTGCCATAAAGATGAGCGGAGGGAGCGAGGAATCATTTTCTCCTCTTGTTGCTGCAGCAACGGCAAAGTCACATTCAAGTGCTGGGGAATGACTGTGGGGAAGAAGAGGTTAAAGCGAGCCTGTCTGTCATACAGCAGATCACACAGGAAGGGATGAGGATTTACACACTATGTACATATAATAACCACGGAGAAGACAGCCAATCCATCATGTAGTTCATGTGTGTGTTCCTTTAAAAAAAGGAAATGTATGGAAGGGGGGGGCATATATTATGCACTTGCAGGATATGTAAGTTGAAGTTCAGTCTGCCTATTTTTTGCCTTCCCTGGTTCCTCCTTCAACATGCTAATTCCATTTATAAGTCAAAGCTTTCAATTTTCATGATATACCTTATTTCAGACCCAATGTCTGGGTCTCTGTACTCCTCTGTGCAATACAGGCAGATCATGTCTGGTGGGAGGGGCCAGCAGAGTGCTGTATATAGCTAGCTGAAAACATCAAAGCCTTAGTACTCATTTCGAGAGCCCTCAGTCCTGATACAAGCAGTGGGCTGGCTCTTGGGAGGGGTTATGCAAATATTAAAATTCCTTGATTGATGGATGTCAGTCTAAATAAGTGAAAGTTCCTACATGAGCATGCAGACCACCCTAGGTAACCCTCATATGTGATGCTGAGCCTCCATAATGAAATTGATAATAAAGTCAAAATGTTAGGCTATTTCAAATGCTGAGTAAATCACTTACAATGCATGCTGCTCCTTTATGTTTAAACGTTTCCTGCAGAATTAGCTGGTCCCCCAAGTAGTGGTCCTGATATCTTGTTTTAGGATGGCTCCTTTCCCATGCAGGGTCCTATGGAGCAACCCCTGTGTGTGCTAGAAAGCTACAGCAAGTCAAGCTACTCCCCTGGCCCCTGATCCCCACTCCTCCTTCCTCCCTGCTTCCCTGGCAGTGCGGAAAGGAAGGGGGGGTGCATTGCAAGGGTCTTTTTTTTTTTTAACAAACCAGAGTTCAGCAAATAATAATAGCAAATAAAGCATATTACCTAAGCTCCAAATTTTCTGCATTAATTGATGGCTTACAGTTCAAAATCTCTACTGCTCGCCTGGGCTATAACATTTTGTATGATCCAGGTGAGCAACACCAGTCCAGGTAATCAGGGCCGGATTTCCCACAAGGCCAACCAAGGCCCGGCCTTGGGGCAGTAGGGAGTAGAGTGGCAGCAGGGGTGTGGAACTGATATCTCCCGATGCCCAAGCGGGTAGTTGTTTTCTACATTCAGCCCTGCTTTGGGCAAGCAGAGCTAAATATACAGCAGGGATGCCGCCGCTTGTTTTGTACAAGTGATCTCGGCGACATTGTATACAGCCTGCAGGTCTCCCATTCTCCATGGTGGGGGGGTTGACAAATATAGGCAGGTCAAGCAACAGCTTGACGGCACCAGGGAGGGGGGGGAAAAATGTGACTGGCCGCAAGATGGCCGCGGCGGCTCTGATCACACCTGTCAGTGCTCCCTCTCTCTCCTGCCGACCGCTGCAGCTTCAGAGCGGCCAGGAGGAGAGAGAGGGAGCGCTGACAGGTGTGATCAGAGCGGTCTCTCTGAGCAGAGGAGCGGCAGGTATGTTCCCACCCCCGACAGAGAACCTGTCACCTCCAAATGCTATCACACAGGGGATTGTTAGCTCGCTCCTGTGTGATAGCGATAAAGTTAAGTGAAAAAATTAAAAAAAATTATAAAATAAACATTTATGAAAAAATAAGTAAAAAATAATAATTATAATGATAAAAGTAAAAGATAGTAAGATTACAAAAATAAAGAAATTAACAAATAATGTTAAATAATGTGGCAGACAATCTATTGGAGGTGGAGGTGAATGCACGCAGCCGGGAGCGTGCACGTCGGATAGACACTGTGGGACCTAAGGACTCTGCGTTGGATCAGAGACCGGCACCCAGGGACCCGAAGCTCATTTCTACTTACTATTAATAGCTACAAGAACACAGAAAAACAATGTTGATGTCTATCGGTATTGCAAAAGTAATGATAATTTAATTTGGAATATGCACAGACATTACCGCTATTAATGGTCCGGACACTGTGGCAGGAAGTTAATATGTAACAAGCAGACCCTGAGGAGAATGATGTTAATTATGTTATGTAGTTCTGAGCTATGGTAGGAAGTACTTTTTGTGCTAAGAACACTCGACCACAAGAGATAATACCCTAAGAACATTTGATTTGCACAATTCTTAAAATTGCTGGTTAATTCACAAAGAACAAATCAGTTTTGCTGCACCAAAAATCTATACACATTTTTGTTATAAATGAACTTCCTAGGTGTGGCAATGAGCAAAGCCACAGTGTTTGCAACCCTATAGGTGAGGAAGAGCCTTAGAAAGTACCAATGCTAAATTCATATTATAGGGGATGCCTGAAATTTCACTTGTATGTTAGTGGCAATATGGCCCATCTGTAGAGTTAGGCACTTCACTGAAATATGGTGGCTTGCTGAATATTAAATCTTAAGTGTAGTTTACGCATATAATACCTTCCCTTGTTTCCCCTCCCTCCAATCAACATGCAATTAACATTTTTAAATCAAATTATTTTGTTTTTCAAGAAGTACCGTCATCATTACTGGATTCTACGGTCTGTTTGCTGCTCTTTGCTCCAAGTTTGGTAGTGTGGGCAAGCATGGCCATACCACCAAATAGATTTATAGAAGTGATACTTGCATCTTTCGTTACATGACTCTGAGCTCTAAAGCCTACATTTTGAGAAGTACAATGGGTGGTGCTCAGAACAAACTGACCTGCATTTTGTGTAGACTCAGATTAATCAAGAGCCGCTTTGCCTGTAAATATTTTGAAGGTCCATGAAGCTTTAGCAGACAAGGCAGCTAGCTACAAAAGATGAATGCCAGAATAAACATCACAGGTTAAGCTCTGAATGAGTTAAAATGCAAAATTGTTTCACTTGAGTGTTCTATAAATATGAACCAGACTGGGAACATCCAGCTGCATGGGGTGCATGGTTTTTGCATCTTCTACACTGGGTCATGTTAAAACCAGTTGCAAGCTCTGTTCTAAAAAAATCATCCCATTTCCAAAGTCCAAAAGGCAGAATGCTCTAAGGTAACAATATTTACTATCTAAAGGCAGACTGCTTCAGTGTTTTACAGCCCCGGTAGAAGGTTTTTGCCAGCCAAAGTGTGAAACATTTTTTCCTATCTTGACTTTTGAACACCAGCCAATTGTCAGCTGAGCAGGCAGCTGGGATTCATAACACGACAAAGAGCTTTATCAAGTGAGCAGCAGAATGACTTTCTCAAATACCAGGGCATTGCTGCTTCTACTCCTCCTTCTATGTCCTCCCTGTATACAGAGGAAACAGACTCTAGAATGATTGATGCTCCAGGCCATTATGTTCAGCAGCAAAGAAACCATAATATGGAATTGAAATATAGTAGCAGAAAATAATTTGTAACAAGGTATGTATTATTCCAGTAAAACAAGCAAAAATCAGGATCTGCTTGGTTAGATTCACAGAGGAACTCTGAATAAAACCATGGAGGGTCCCTAATCCATACATGCTTTACAGTATATATTTGATTAGCAGTATCATTGCAGGTTGGAGTATAGTAAAAGACAGTTATTGTGATATTTATCTCATCGTTCATGCTATGGCACAGTGGCGTAACAATCGCCATAGTGACCCAGGCGGCTGCTATGGGACCCGGGCACAGGGGGGCCCGGCCAGGGCATCCCTCTGATGCCGTGTGGGCCGCCTGGGTCCCTATGGCATCTTGGAGTGCTGGGTGTCACTGACATAGCTCAGCAGCGGCTTTGAGGGAGAACGTTCCCCCTCACAGCCGCTGCAGAGCTGTGTCAGTGACAGCCAGCAGATGCGGCAGACAGAGGCGTAACTAGTGACCTCAGGGCCCTGATGCAAGAATCCATGAAGGGCCCTCCCCCAAGAAAAAAAATAGATACTTTTTTTTTTAAAACAGAGACATTTTTGAAAATAAAAAAAAAACACTCTCCTCTTTCATGTCCCCAGCTTCCCCTCATCTCCCCCTACACGTCCCCAGCTTGTCCGGCGACCACGGAGGTGGACAACGCTGACAGGCGTGCAGCCCAACTGAGACCCTGCAGAGCCCACTATAGAGAGTCTATGGTGGGCTCTGCAAGTGGCACAACTAGCAATCACGGGGCCCCATACAAAATTTTGCTATGGGGCCCTGTGATTTCTGGTTACGCCCCTGCCATGGCATAATTATTTATAATACGCTTTTACTTTGAACATGACCAGATTCCCATCACCCGAGCCTACAGGCACACAACCATAGGCCCCCAAGGAAACACTACTTTGCTTGAATCATTCCTTTTACATATAACATTTGCTTTTTTACTGGTCATAAAATATAAGAATATTGTGACAGTGTGAAAATAAGCTTAGATAAAATGACCGTATTTCTACTTTGCTTCTGCCATCCATAGACGTAGGCCCACTATGTCCAGTGTTAAATCTGGTACTGACAGATGCTTTCTTTTTACATTTATCTTTAACTTACTGTTATTTCTCCATGTTCATAGCAGAAATAATGATTAAGTGGTGGTGACAGGGACTGGAGTAAAAGGATCCTTAGCCAAATGTTGTTTGTGTTTTATAGCTTGATTCTATATGGTGTTTCCCATAATTGCATTTTGTAAGTACCTATGCAATGAATGGTAAGGCGTGGTCTCATGCTACCATAAGTAATTAAGCGGCACTATGTTTTCTGGGTTGTTTCTTGGCATCTAGCCTACAGGAGGTACCCTTTCTAACATCTACAGTTTACAGCAACAGACGACTGAGCTGGCAGCCCCTCCTGGCCTGTCTGTAGCACACATACATCTACTTAAGTCCTAGTGTTTAGAATGTTAACACCAGGTCTGTCTCAACAGCTGCTTGAAATAGTCCTTCCTGCTGCCGATGAAGAGAGTGTTTTAGCAATTCAAAATAACAATGGTTGAC